CTGAAGAATTCAAGAAGAATATGGACATCTTAGCCTCGAAAAAGGAGTCCGTTCAAGCAGAGTTGGAGTCGGCCGAGTCCCAGCTCCGAGCTGCAAGAGAGAAGGCCTCGATGCAGTTCAAGAAAATCGAGGAGCTTCAGTTCCAACTGGACTCGGCTATCTTTGATAAGGCAAAATTGGCCAAAGAGCTCGAGGTGGCCATGGTCAACACCAAGGCTGATGCCAAAGTGGCTCAATATAAGGTCGAAGTCGAGTCCATCCAGGCGAAGGCCAAGAGCATGGTGGATCATGCAAAATGGCAAGCTCGAAGGGAAGCCTCGAGGAGGTTCAGGCTCAAGGCTCTGATATTATGGCCGAAATCGAGAACACCAAAGCAGCGGAAACCAGGACCCGGAAACTGGCCTTCCTTGAGGAAGAATCCGAGAGCTTAAGCGAGTCCGAGGGCGGGGAGGATCCCGAGGATGAAGATGCCACCTCCAATAAAGACCAGGCTACTTAGGCCTTTATATTTTTGATTTCTGTTGTATCTTTTTTTGGGCTATTTTGGCCGTTGTAAAGTTTCGTATTAAGTCGATCTGGCCTTTGTAAAAAAGATTGTTAATATATTCAAGGCTTTCTTTCCCTTTCGACATTAAAACTTTTCCTTTGTTTTATCTCTTGTGTTCATAAAGGTTGGAGTGCCTTAGGACAAAATAACTTAAATTTTGTAAAATTTGAATAAACCCTGCCGTTACATTATTCAGTTTTGAGGCGTTTTGGGTTCGGTGTCATTGGGTACTTTCTCCCGAGATAAGTAATTCAAACTATAGTTTTCCGAGGGTTAGCCTTTATAACCGGTTATGAAAATATCGAAGGCCTATTTTTGTTACCGTTCTCGGACGTCTCCGAGTCGTGTTAATATGGCCGTGGCCTTTTAATTTCGAGTGTAGCCCAGTGGGCTTGCTTCCCCGAGTTATCCAGGCTTGCCTAAGATAACAGTCCCCCAGTGGGTGTGGCCATGGCCTTTAAAATTCGGGGGTTGCCTAATAGGTCTTGCATCCCTGATGTTTTAATAGCTCGGTCTGTTCGAGTTCATTTCCGGACGGCAGTCCCCGAGCGAGGGAGTAACCATCCGAACTTTGGTTATAATCGGCTCATAAGCTTGTTTCCTTAAGAGATAGAAATTACGGAATTGTAAAGTAGAAATTTTTCTAAGACATAAGATAGTTGCAAGGAAAGTACTTATCTTTATTCTTGTCAAAAATATTCATACATGCGTGCATGTTTTATGTCAGGGCTCGAGAAATCTATGGGGGCACGGTTCGTTCAACCGTTTGGCCCTTACAACAAATCCTACCTATCGAGACCCTTCCATTAAGAAATAATTTCCTTGCTAGAGCAATTCGATATCCGAGGGTAATCCCTCCCAGTATTCGACGTTGATTGTAGAGAAAGCTCGGATACTGTAAACACAGTCTTCGATACCGATTCGTGATCGGCCTTTGATTCTAATTTAGCACGATCTGTTGTTGCCTCTTTAAAAACCTTGCCGGAAGACCCATTTTGGGACAAAACCGGTCTAAGAAAAAAAGAGTGCAACGCGTGCTTTCAGACCTAAAGATTTCGGGTGTATCTTGTCGATTACCTGCAAGTGTAAGTCAAAAGATAAAAGGAAACTAAAAGGGATCATACCTTAGCAGTAGTATCATTTTAGGTGAGTTACATTCCAATTGCTCGGTAGTGGTTCCCTGCTCAACATTTCGAGTTTATAGGATCCTTTCCCTGTGACCTCGAGGATCCGGTACGGTCCTTCCCAATTTGGACCTAATTTTCCTTCGTTTGGATTTCGGGTGTTGAGGGCAACTTTCCTTAGCACTAAGTCCCCGACATTGAAATATCGAAGATTGGCTCTTCGATTGTAGTATCTCTCAGTCCATTGTTTTTGGACAGCCAGTCGGACGAGGGCGACTTTACGCCTTTCATCCAATAATTCTAGGTTCATATTCATGGCCTCGTGATTTGATTCCTTTTATTGCATATCAGAACCTGACACTCGGCTCTTCGACTTCGACCGGTATTAGAGATTCGGTACCATAATCCAACGAAAATGGGGTAGCCCCAGTACTGGATTTCAAGGTTTTGCGGTATGCCCAAAGAACTTCGGGGCAAAACTTCCTTCCACTTTCCCTTAGCATCGAATAGCCTCTTCTTAAGATTTTGGATGATGGTTTTATTGGTCGATTCAGCTTGCCCCGTCCCACTAAGATGATAAGGTGTCGATATGATTCTTTTGATTTTGTGATCTTTGAGAAATTTGGTTACTTTGCTGCCAATGAACCGTTTTCCGTCGTCACACACAATTTCGGATTGCATCCCAAATTGTCGTATGATGTGGTCCCAAATGAAGTCGATTACCTCCTTCTCTTTAACTTTTTGGTAGGCTTGTGCTTCAACCCACTTAGAAAAATAGTCAGTCATAAATAAAATGGATTGAGCTTTACATGGTGCCCATGGAAGAGGGCCAACGATGTCTGTTCCCCACTTTATGAATGGCCATGGCGACAAGACCAAATGGAGTAGTTCCCCAGGTTGGTGAATCATCGGTTCATGTCTTTGGCACTTGTCATATTTTCGAACAAACTCTTTTCCATCCTTTTCCATGTCAGTCCAGTAATAGCCGGCTCTGATTAACTTTTGGATCAACGATTCTGCACCGGAATGATTTCCGCAAGTGCCCTCATGGACTTCCCTCAGAACATACTTTGTATCACCCGGTCCCAGACATATCGCTAGTGGACCATCGAACATTCTCCTGAACAAGGTTCCATCTTCGAACAAGGTGAATCGTGCAGCCTTCGTGCGCAGGGCCCTCGATTCTTTTGGATCTGAGGGAAGCTTCCCGGTCTTCATATACTCTATGTATTTATTTCTCCGATCCCAGGTCAAGCTTGTGGAATTTATCTCCGCGTGACCTTCTTCGACCACCGAACGCATGAGTTGCACGACGGCCCCCGAATTGAGCTCGCTGTCCTCGACTGATGACCCTAGGTTTGCGAGGGCATCGGCCTCACTATTCTGATCTCGAGGCACATGTTGTGAAGCCCACTCCTTAAATCGATGCAAATTACTTGTAGCTTATCTAGGTATCTTTGCATTTGCTCTTCTCTAACATCGTAAGTTCCATTAACCTGATTTCCCACGAAGAGGCAGTCGCATTTGGCTTCAATCACCTCCGCTCCCAAGCATTTGGCTAGTTCGAGACCTGCAATCATGGCCTCGTACTCGCCCTCGTTGTTAATCAATTTCACAATTCTAATAGACTGTCTAACCCCGTTGCCTATGGGTGGTTTTAGCACGATGGCGAGTCCGGACCCTTTTACGTTTGAAGCACCGTCTGTAAAGAGGGTCCAGATTCCTGAGGATGTATCCGAGCTAACCAACAACTCTCTTTCGGCCTCGGGCACTAGGGCGCCAAAATTTGAGACTTGATGGCTGTTCGGGGTCAATATTCAATATCATACCCGCTAATTTCTATGGTCCATTTGGCCAATCGTCCCGAAAGTTCGGGTCTATGCATAATATTTCAAAGTGGGTAAGTTGTTACAACACATATGGGGTGACATTGAAAGTATGGTTTTAGATTCCTAGAGGCACTTATCAAAGCGAGCGCCAACTTTTCTAGGTGGGGATATCTGGTCTCGGCCTCACCTAAGGTTCTCTAACATAATAAACAGGAAATTGCATACCTTGTTCTTCCCCGACTAAGACTCCACTTACTGCTATCTTTGATACTGCCAAATATAAGTACAACTGTTAGTTTTCCCTCGGCGTATGAAGCAGCGGCGAGCTCGATAAGTATCATTTAAGCTTTTCCAAGGCTTGTTGGAATTCTGGAGTCCATGTATAGTTATTTTTCTTTTTCAGCAACAAGAAAAAACGTTGGCTCTTATCGGAGGATCTCGAGATGAATCGGTCCAGGGCCGTTATGCGCTTGGTTAACCTCTGCACGGCCTTTATGTTGTCTACTGTGATGTCATCGATAGCTTTGATCTTGTCGGGGTTGATCTCGATCTCTCGGTTAGATACCATGAACCCGAGGAACTTACCTGATCCGACTCTGAATGCGCATTTTTCCGGATTCAGCTTCATGTTGTACTTCTTCAATATACTGAAGGTTTCCTGCAAATGCTTCAAATGGTCCTCTGCTCACAGGGACTTAACTAACATATCAGCAATGTAAACTTCCATTGATTTCCCTATTTGTTCTTCGAACATCCGATTTACTAGGCGTCGGTAAGTGGCACCAGCATTTTTTATTACAAATGGCATTACGTTGTAGATGTAGGTACCATATATAGTGGTGAACGAGGTTTTTTCCTAATCATCCGGGTCCATTTGAATTTGGTTGTACCCGAAATAGGCATCGGGAGAACTAAGGATCTCGTGGCCGGCCGTGGCATCGATCATGTGATCGCTATTAGGCAAAGGAAAAGAATCCTTGGGGCATGCTTTATTTAAATCCTTGTAATCTACACACATTCTAAGTTTATTTCCTTTCTTAGGGACTACTACTACGTTCGCTACTCATTCAGGGTATTTTACTTCCCGAATGGACACTATTTAAGAAGCTCGGTTACCTCGTCTTTGATGAAGGCATCCTTGATTTCGGATTGGGGCCTTCTTTTCTACTTCATCGGCTAAAACATCGGGTCCAAGCTTAATTTATGGGTGGTGATTTCTAGTGGGATCCCTGTCATATCGAGATGGGACCAGGCAAAATAATCCATGTTCGTTATAAGAAATTGGATAAGCTTTTTCTTGAGCTCGGGGGTTAATCACGTGCCCAGGTATACCTTTTTATCGGGCTGATGATCGATCAGTGTGACTTGCTCCAGCTCTTCGACTATCGACTTGGTAGTGTCGGAATCATCGAGGACTATGAAGGATCGAGGGACCCTGGAATCATTATCTTCTTTAGTCCCCTGTTCGTCTTGTCGGGTCGAAGCTGGCATCGATGATTGCTATTTGGCTTCCTGTTTTGCTTTCGAACCTGATTCCTTTGTCGATGAGAGTGTTGATATTGGAATTACTTCATCGACGACAAACATCTCCTTTATGGCGGGTTGTTCCCCATAAACCGTCTTTGTCCCCTCTGGTGTTGGAAACTTTAATACCTGGTGGAGGGTCGAGGGCACGACCTTCATGTTGTGGATCCATAGTCTTCCAAACAGAGCGTTGTATCTCATGTCCCCCTTGATTACATAAAACTTGGTCTCCTGGGTAGTACCCGTTATGTTTACTGGCAATGTTATTTCTCCCTAAGTATTTTCGCAAACCATGTTAAATCCATTTAACACTCGGGTCGCGGGTACGATCTGATCCTGTAGGCCGAGCTATTCTACGACCCTCGATCGAACAGTATTAGCCGAGCTACCTGGATCAATTAGCAAGCGTTTAACTCGAGTTTTATTCATGAGTACAGATATTACCAGTGCATCATTATGGGGCTGTGTGATTCCTTCCGCATCCTCATCATTGAAAAACAAAGTCCCTTCTGGCATGTAATCTCGAGTTCCTTTTTCCCTCTTGATCGATACTTTGGTGCGCTTAAACATTGGACCTTGAAAAACATCGACTCCTCCGATGATCATATGGATGACATGCCGGGGTTCGTCTTGTTCGTTTTGTTTGTTGGAGTCCTTATTTTTGAAGTGATTCTTAGCTCGATCGCTCAGAAACCCCCGAAGATGCCCGTTGTTGAATAACCGGGCTACTTCTTCTCTTAATTGCCTACAATCTTCCATTCTATGGCCATGGGTATTTGTACATTTGTTTGGGATCTCTTCGAGCCTAATTGGTCTGTAGAGGTCGAGGCCATCTGGTATCCTTGATGCGTCTGATAGCTGATACGATGACGACTGCGTCGACATTAAAGTTGTACTCTGATAACCGAGGTGCTTAATTGGGTTCGATAGGCTTGTCAAAGTCGCTCTTGCTCATGAGTCCTTGAGAGCTCTAACCTCGATCACTTCTTCTTTCATTCCGTACAGGATTCTGCCCAGGTCCGATGTTCCTGCGATCTCCTTTATATGGCTGGTATCGATCTCTGTTTGACCTAGGTTCTCGATCAATATCCCTTTTAACTATGTCGATGGGTCTGATAGGATAAACGGACCCGGAAGGGGCCCCAAGTTGATCGTCCTCGATCCTAATCTTCGACTGATACCGATTATGTACATCGGCCCAAGTGACAACTGGGTATTCTATCAAATTCTGCTTCAACTGCTGTGAAGCCACCAAAATTCGAACGTTGAGACCTTGAGTGAAGGCTTGAACAGCCCAATCGTCGGCGACCGGTGGCAAGTCCATCCGTTCCATTTGGAATCGAGACACAAACTCTCTCAGCATCTCGTTGTCCAATTGCCTTACCTTGAAAAGGTCCGACTTCCTGGTTTCGACCTTGATGGCCCCGGCGTGTGCCTTTACAAAAGAATCTGCAAGCATAGCAAACGAGTCAATAGAATTAGGCGGTAAATTGTGGTACCATATCATCGCACCCTTCGACATGGTTTCTCCGAATTTCTTCAGCAGGACAGATTCGATTTCGTTATCCTCTAGGTCATTCCCTTTGATAGCGCATGTTTAAGAGGTGACGTGCTCGTTCGGATCGGTCGTCCTATTATACTTAGGAATCTTGGGCATGCGGAACTTCTTGGGGATTGGCTTCGGAGCCGCACTCTGTGGGAAAGGTTTTTGTACGAATTTTTTGGAATCCGGTTCCTTCAATATTGGTGGTGCTCCCAGGATTTGATCGAACCTGGAGTTATAGGTTTCCACCTTCTTGTCGTTTTCCTCGATCTTCTTTTCTTCTGACTCGACTCTTTGTCAGTTCTTTGATCATCTTCATGATAGCAGGATTGTTCTCCGATTCCGTCTCGCTCGGTCTCCTAGAAACTGATTCGACCTTGTGTACAACTTCCTGGGATGGCTCGAGCTCGACCCTGCTCGGTGTGTGATTCTGATTTTGGAGCTGGGCTATCGCTGCCTGTTGGGCCTGTAACATTTCTAGGATCACTTGCAGGTTGACCCCGTCGTCCTCGCTGACGTGTGCACTTTGAGTGGCTGATCAGTTGTCCCCGTGGACGCTGCCCTCGGGGTCGACCGCCAAATTAGCGTTGAGGCCTATACGTGAGCTGACGCCGATTGGATCTACATCTGAAACTCCATCAAGGCCAACCAGGGTATCACGCCCCGTACCTGGGCCTGGACGTAACACGACACCCGGTGCCTAACTAGATGCGACCGAGCGAACCAACTGGCTGGCTAAATCAACATGTGATATCATAACATACTAAATGCGGAAGATAAACTAACACATGCTGGTATATGAAAGTCTGGATGATATAAATCAAAGTGCGGAAATACTAATACAATTCTGAAACATATTTGTAGCCAACATAGCTTAAATTTGAAAAGCCTGCGACTCTGTCTAACTGTTACTCTAGTCTATGAAGCCTCTAATGAAGTACTGAAAACACTGGCTGTCTGAAAATACTGAAGACTGTAAGGTAATAATAATGCCCCGAAAGAACTGGGGATCACCAAATAGCTGGTACGAGAATCCTAGCGCTCTGAATCATCAACCTGTAAATCATAGCCTGCATCTTGAGATGTAGGCCCCGAGCAAAAGGGACGTCAGTACATTTGAATTGCATTGGTATGTAAAGCAACTGAAAGAAAGAATTAAAAATGTTGAAACTCAAACTAAGCTGATAATTGAGAGTTGATAATTGATAACTGAAATGATAACTATTGAAACTGAAATTGAAATGATAACTGATAACTGAACTGATAACTGATAACTGATAATTGAACTGAACAAAGGAAGTAAGGATATGAATACGCCCTCTTCTGAATGATGAACAACCTGTTTATCTGAATAAGCTACGGCCTCGGGCCCAATATATATGTGCACAAGGTACGGCCTTAAGCCCAAGTATACGTATACATAACTACGGCCTCAGGGCCAAAAATGCATAAAGCATAAACTACGGCCTCAAGCCCAAACATGCATAAAGCATAAACTACGGCCTCCGGCTCAAGTATGCATAAAGCATATAAACTACGGCCTCAGGCCCAAATACAGGTGTTCAACATTCAGGAACTGAGAATCATACTAAAATACATGATACTGAAATATTGAACCATACTGAGCTACATGATACTTGAATGCTGAATAGAGCTAGACTGAGACATGTATTCATGAACTTATTATGAAAATTGAAACTTCAACTGTTTATGACATGTTGAATAATCTAGACTGAGACTCATAGTCATCAAACCCAAGTCTATATTGACTACACACTGATGTCACAGCGTTCAGAATGAAAGTCATGAATGAGTTACGAAGCTAGAGAATAGAAGTTCCGCAACTATTCAAGGAATTAGGCTTAACTATATTTCTGAGGCAATTGGTAACGTGGTAAAAGAAACATAGTGTAGGGAGAATCATTAACATTCCCAAACATAGAGAGTTAGCCTCACATACCATAACTTCCTGCTCTTGAGCGTAATACAATATTCGCCAATCCTTTCAACTTTAATCTATATCAATACAAGTCAAAGGGATTCCATATTAGCAATAATACTCATGTTTTGGTTACTTAGGCATTTTCTCACATAAAGCTTCATAGTCCTTATTGATGGTGTCTCTACAACCAACAAGCCATTCTCTTGCTTCTAGATAAATTCTGAAATCTCAAATGTCTTATAATCAAAATCATTTTTCTTCACCCATAAAATAAACAACACCCTTAACCAATAATCAACTATCAACAAACCAAACATATAATTTTCATGCTTTTCTATCAAATCTATCAACTCATATCTCATGAATATAGAGTCTATAATCATTAATCCAATGGTATAATCAATTAGAGGGTGAAGACATTATCTTTTTGAAGTTCAATCCTCTTGAATTCGAGTTCTAGGGTTTCTTCTCTCAACAATAATACCCCAATCGAATATCTAATGATTTGGAGGGTTTACTCATGATAATAAGATGTTAGGAAATTGAAATTAACTTAAAATCACCATTAGAACTTACCTTGGATGGTGGAGGGACCCTTAAGGAGTTAGATTTTTGAGAGCTCCCCTTTCTAGAGCAAGTTTTTATGTTTTGGGGGTGTGGGGGACGAACTAGGGCTTTAAAATGACCCCCCAAGTGCGCCCCCCCGCGCACCTGAAGGCCTGACCGCGCACCTGACCACGCACAGGGCGCGCACTGTTCTATAAAACGCGCATAACCTTTTGCACAAAGATCTTGTTCGGGCTCCATAATATATCGTTGGAAATATATTTCAAAGGCCTAAAACTTTCGTATTTTGAGGTTTTCCCAAATACCTTACACATTTTCACTAAATCCTGCTGCAAGACTGACCTTTTGTAAACTTAGTAGATTTTATTGAATCTTGTACACCTCACTCTTCGTCTTGATTCTAAAATAACTATTTTCACCCATATCATCCCGCTAGGACTTCATATTTCTAAAATATCAGATTAATACCCATTTAGCATATCCACACCTACTCGAATGTACGGGGTGTTACATTATCTCCCCTTGGGATCTTTCGTCCTCGAATGATCCTGATTGTAACTTCTGCTAACTTCGGACCTTAAATGGGTATGGTGGAAACATGAACTTCCATTAACACTTGCATACTAAACTGAATGAATACATGAATACCGAACTGTTGAGATAGTGAAATGAATGACTACTGCATTGACTGAAATTGGTCTGCCATGGATACGTGAATATCGAACTAACATAGGTATATGAATATTGAACTGGCACGAATATTTGAGTAATCTGAGTACTAAGCTGGCATGAATGTCTAAGTATTGGACTGACATGAGTAGTTGAGTATTGTACTGACATGAGTATCTGAGTATTGAACTGACATGAGTATTTGAGTACTGAACTGACATGAGTAACTAAGTACTAGAAACTTGAATGCTATAGCAGGATACGTGAAATACTGGTTGTACCACCGCAAATTCTGGTGGCAGCTTCAACTCATAAGCTAATTGATTGATCCTTCGCTAGAATCTATATGGCCCAATATAGCAGAGACTATGCTTCCCCTTCTTCCCAAATCTCATAACGCCTTTCATAAGCGAAACTTTCAGAAACACCCAATCATCAACTTGAAACTCTAGGTCTCTATGCAGCACGCTCGGATAGGACTTTTGGCGGCTCTGAGCCATCTTCAAACGCTCTTGAATCAACTTAACTTTCTCCATTGTCTGATAGACCAAATTTGGTCCCAACAACTCCTCTTCACCAACTTTGGACCAACCAATTGGCGATCTACACCTTCGCCCATGCAGAGTCTCGCACGTGCCATCTTGATACTAGAATGGTAGGTTATTATTAGCAAGGTCAATGAGAGGTATGTGATCATCCCAATTACTTTTAACATCAACGACATATCCTCAACAGTTTGGATAATACGCTCTGTCCGGCCATCTTTCTGAGGATGAAAAACTTGTGCCTAATCATTTCTGAAAGAACTTCCAAAAGCTCATCTTAAACTGAGCACCACAGTCCGAAATGACGAATAATGGAGTCCCATGCAATCAGACGATTTCCTGAATGTACAACTTGGTATAATCTTCTACTGAATCTGTAGTTTTTTTTGGCAAGAAGTGTGCTGACTTGGTAAGTCAATTTACAATCATCCAATCAAATCATGCTTTTAAAATGAGCAAGATAATCCTGTTATAAATTCCATATTTACCATCTCCACTCAAAATATGTGTATTCTGTGATAAAACACTAGGCTTTCTGCTTCTCGACTTTCACTTGCTGACAATTCGGACAATTGGCCACAAAGTCTGCGACGTTTTTTTCCATGTCGTTCAACCAATA